CATAAAATGCCACTATGTCACAAGGATGGGGAAAAAAAGTCCCTGGAGAATAAGCAGCTCCAAATTATGACTAAAGATGGGATTTCCAGTGTTGCTCCATCACTGCCTCCCGGGAGTTCCCCAGCTTCTCAGCATGGCATACAGATTACGGTAATGATGGGAACATGGGAAATTTAGGTAAGATTGTGCTACTAGAAGAAGGGCTATTGAGACCCACGGCAGGTTATGCTGGTATATAACCATCACCTTACACTGAGGTAGGTGGGCTTGCAAAGCTGCTGTCGGCATGGGAAGGTAAAAAAAACTCTCTTAAGTTTCCATCTCCCTTATTTTATGCCAGAATTCTGAATGGTAGTGATACAGGGTGGAAGAATAAAGCAGAGAGGGAGTAAAGAAAAGCCAGTCTTGCCACTGGAAGGTTCCTTAGGGAGGGAAAAGTATCAATACACTATATAAGAATTATTTTTAAATAAAAACAATTTAATAAAGAGAAAGCTTAAGTATCAGGGAGGAAGATGTGTGAGGCCCACAATTTGATTCTAAGACTATAGGAGGCGAGTCCTTGATGAGCTGTTGAATTTTGGCAGGTGAGTTATGCAAACGGTGGCCAGGATGGTTTCAATACTGACGTATTGAAGGAACCCCTAGTCAGCGGTTCTCAACCTGTGGGTCGCCTAAGACCATCGGAAAACGAAAAGATATTTACATGACGATTCATAACAGTAGCAAAATTACAGTTATAGAGTAGCAACGAAAATAGTTTTATGGTTGGGGGTCACCACAACGTGAGGAACTTATTAAGGGGTTGCGGCATTAAGAAGATTGAGAACCGCTGGATGTTACAATCCCGGCAGCTTCCCCTAAATATTCTGTCAGTTCTAACAAGGCTACCAGAACAATTCTCCATAGTAATATACCTTTTCCATAGAGAAAATACCTTTCCCACCCCTTTCCAGGCTGATCTCTCCATAGGTAAGACGAGCGTTGTCATACGATTCTGACAGGAAAACATTTCAGCTCTCTAACAGTTTTTTTCTATCTACCTATCATCTTTTTCTAGTCTATGAAACAAACTTTGCACTTTTTCCCCCCAGTGGTATTAGTTCTTGAATCTGACATGCCCCTGGCCAGGTAGGAGAGGCAGCCCCGTTCTCTCTGAGGACTACCTGTGGACGGGGAAACCTGTGGCAGCGGCCACTTCTCAGCTGTGTCCTGAACATGGCATTCCTCTCTCTCGTTCAATCCTTAGAACGTGGGTGACTCTCTTTTCTCAACAGCTGAGTTTTAAGGAGGGAAGGGTGTTGGCTCATTAAACATTACTAAGAGCTATGCTCACCTTGAGTCTCTAAAGTACAATTTATCACGTTTGGTGAATCAAGCCTGTGGCCTGGTTTACGACAGAAGTAATGACATCCAACTGGATAACCTATTACAACACATGTTTAGGTTGTGTTTGTGCACAAGGTGTTGGGGAGATGAACTCGTTCAGCGAAATATCTGACAGGCTCTTGTGTGAGAATAACTGCCTGTGGGCTCTCCATATCTAATACAGGCTATAGAGAATATACCTTTTACCAATTATAGAGGGATAAGCTGCAGGAGAAGATATAACAGATTCCTTCCGCTTCTTTACAATAAGAGTCTTCTTACTTATACACAAGCAAAAGTCAGACATAGAAAAAACTGTCAAGCGATATATAAATGTAAATGTATTCATACTGAATAGGTTCAATGATGCAATAAAATAGCATACTTACAGAGAATGAATTAATTTGAAAAATCAATAAGTGTATCTCTTTTATACATTAGAGCAGTGAAACCTTTATCTTTTGTCAGTATCTTAAGATTGGTAATATATGTAGATTTTGGTTATTAATATCATTTGACACATTCGAAAAGCTACACTATTCTTGTCTTTATATAAAAACATTTTAAATTTTTAATGGAAAAGAAATCTACCTTAATATATATATATATATATATAAAATATATATATGCATTATATTACTACATTATATATAATATGCATTATATGATTGTATTATATATAATATATAATATGCATTGTATATGAAATATATACATATATTATTCTAATATTCTAAAATACTAGCAACATAATAAGGATTCAATTTTTCCACAGTTTAATTTCTTTTTATGACTATATAATCATAACATCAATAACCACTAATATCCTTTTACTTTGATCACAGTGGCATGAGTAACTAATACTTTCTTTTTCTAATTGTTACTTGCAAAGATATAGAAAAAGTCAAAATTGGCAAACCACTGACAAAAGGGCTTATCAAGCGCATTCATTCCTTCTCTAGGACATAAGGTCCCTGCACTCTGCAAACTGTAACCGTAACCTTCACGTGGACAATGGCCAGCATCAGCCCTGAGGATTTTTGCTTTGTCAGGTCTCCTGATTCTTAGTTGAAAGAAACTTGAAGCATTCGTTATTATATATCTGGTATTGTTTTTAAGAAACAATCCCCACCCCACCCCCCAAAAAAAATAATGAAAGAAAAGTAGAGAGGTTGAAAGTTCCCTTTTGCACTAAAATAACCTTCATTCGTTGAGAATGCCCCTGGTTATTCAGAGTAAATGTATTTCTTTTTTATTTGCCGCGGTGAATACTTTGTTCCCTGAGCAACTGCAATAGAATGCTCATTTATAAAGGAAGGCTGACTGGAAAATGCAGGGGGTGGGGTACAAAAAGTAACATATTTCTTAAATGTTCCTGGCGCTCGCAATGATACGTGTCTCTTCTGATCCATGATCAAGTGAAGTTGGCATTTTTTACTGCATATCAAGTAAAGTGGATAATGTGTGAGTCTGCTCACCTCTTAGAGGCATTAATGACAACCCTAGCCCTATCTCAATGCAATCTGAATCCATTTCTTTTTTCCACATGGAAAAACGACTTTACCACTCTCTGGATTAAGCCCACTTTGTCTCCCTGAAGTAATACTCTGGTTGGGAATAGGCAGGGTTCACACAGGAGCCTGAGGACCTATAAAAAACATCGACTGTGAAATGCGATTCTAAAAATAAAGATCAATATGGTCTAAAGACATGTTTGGCTAGTGACAAGAATCTTTGCTTCCATTCAGAAGAATGACAATTGTTATCATAAAGAATACAGAGATAGTAAAATGCTAGGGTACTTCATCAAACCACACAGCATTATTTAATTTCTAACCACTGCTTTTTGCTCCTGGAATCCTTTGATACCCTTTTTCATCTATTCTAAATCTACCTACTGAACATATTGAATATAAACAAAACAACAAAATGATGATAGCATTTCCCCCAAAAAAACGATTCTTTTGAAAAGAGGGTTTGCCTTATATTCTGGTCTTTACAAAGACTGCCATTTTTCAGGTTCCTCTCCTATTTAATAGTCAAAATACTCATTGAAAAAGATACACTGGCCTGAAACAACCTCCAAAAATGCTAATTTTGGAGGGCTTTACGGAGGTTACCTGATAGGATGGGTAAAATAAAGGAGGTTTATAAAAGTGTTTCCACATATGGATAGAGTGGTGAACAAGCCTCTAAAAAAACTTTCATGCATGGCAATTAGTTCCTGGAGATTACAGACTATACAACTACAGAGAGAATTTTTCAAAATACTGCTTGAAACCGAAATGATTTCTTGGGGCTTGAGACAACATTTCCTGAGACATCAACAATCGTAGGTTTAAAAAGTACTGTATCTATATAACTACTTACATGGAAGTAAAAATAGTTTGCTCTGAAGTTTTAAAACAAAGGAACAATTTTAAATTGATATGAAGACTATAATCATTTGCAAATAAATTAATGAATATCAGGGATAATCATCTGAGTATTTCATCTACAACCCTGAGAAATTATATATTCCTGTTAGCCAAAAATTATTTTTTTGCATCTTCTCACTGGGCATTTCCTTAGAGTGAGATCACTTTATTTCAAGAACTTATAGAGTAGTGAATTCCATTGTTTCATTTTTTTGAAGGAGGGTGAGGAGAGCTTTTTTAAAAAACTAAGTTTACATTTTCCCATCATTTTTGTAATATAAAGTGATTAAAAGTAAAACTTTTTCCAAAGTTTGAACGTCCTCAAACTGAGTCCCAAAGTTCAGAGGTTACACAAATTCAGTGTAATTGTTTCTGTCAGGAAGAGAAAAGACCATTCTAAAAATCGGAGATTAAAATGAAAAATGCAATACTGTGTCAATAGAACCATGCTGTGTAATATTCTTTGTATTCATCAAGCTACTTGGTCCATAGCATCTGTCATGTCTAAATTGCTGTCATGTCTAAATTGCTAGTCAGTACAAGGGGGTAATTTGGCAATGAGTGGAGTGTCCCCCTCCAATCAGAGCTGAAATATCTGGGTTACTCTCCTCACTGTCAAGCATAACCAGCAGCAAGAACGTCTACTCTAGCCGATGTCTAAAAGTCTAAGTTAGTCAAGCACCAAGAGAAACTTTGTATAAAACTGTGACAACTGCAAAGGGGTCCCACGGCCTTGACTTCAGTTACTGTGATAGAAAAACGCCAGCTAGATCCACTTTCAAGCTCATATTTACAAACCTTGCACTCCTGCACTGTGAAGAATGAAACGTTCAGCATAGAGCACCGCCAAGGAGTAGAGGCAAGAAGTCGAATGTGTCTTTTGAGGTACCATGGAAAAGTATTCTCAAAAAATTAATCTAGCGAGCGCAGAAGTCATGACACTCATAACCCACAAATATCTTTGAAAGCCGAGTGGACCAGTACATTCTCAAATCATAGCACAATTATTTGAAACAAAGTAATTTTGTGAAATGTGCATTCAGTGAAAGAATTGCTTCTCTGCATCTTTGTTTCTCTTCACTTACTCTATTTAAAAGATCATGATTGCTGTGTACATGCTTCTACCTGTTAAAACATTTTGCTTTGCTATAAGATCATGTCAAAGCAGGAAATGAATACAAATAAAAATGAATGAAAAATGAAAAGGTTTTATACCTGAGAAATCTGCTGCTAAGAGATCTACTGCCTTTAAAACCTTCACTTGTAACAGGCCGATGTCCTTCATGTCTTTCAGGGAGTTCTGTAAGCACTGAAGGGAAAGAAAAGCGGATCGCAAATGAAAATGGCTTTCTAATATATACTATTTAATGACATAAAGTCCTACCAGAACTACATTCTAGATTTATCATCATCTTTCTCATGCAATGCTTAGAAACCTTCCAAAATGCATGACAACAGTCAGCCGAACAGTTAGGCACTGACAGCAGCCAGATGAAAAGTGACTGAGATTTAATTAACTACAGCTTCAAAATGAACGAATTACAAACACATACAATCTACTTTTAACATCGCCCCCTGGTGAATGCACAGGCGTCCCACCGGGAAAATGTGTGTGGGAACTACATTCATTCTCCCTTTACCCTTCTTTCTCTTTAATGAAACTTTTAAATCACCCGAAAAGGCGCCATTATTCTGACCTAGTTAGTGCAACCTTTATGGATACCAGAGGACTAAACTTGGACCCTTCATAGATACTTACTACCACTGAAAAGAGAATAGGGATGGAATTAGAGTGAATTGTGTGGTCCACGTGTTAGCTAGCTTATTAAATTAGAGCTTGAGCATCGAGTATTCACATTTACTTTAATTTTTAGTTTGCATGAGCCAAAGCTTGTATCTATTGATAATTCTTAAGCATATATAGTGATATTTAGATGATATGTACATTTGCATCCTTTAGAAATTGTGCATGAAGGAGATAAGGAGATAAATTCTCTTTCCATGCCTCCAAAGCACATCTACTGAAAAAGATGCTACTTTCAAACCTTCAGATAGATAGGGTATTTCCACCATCCTTAGATAACTAAGAACCTGTGATAAACAGACCACAGGGCTATACGGAAGGGTAGAAAAATCCTTGTGATTGAAGCATTTCGGGGTACAATAACAAAAGCTTAATAATAACAGTTAGGTTTTGCCTGATTTAATATGCACCATGCCTAAGAACCTTTGAAAGCTGTTTCTGCTCTGTATTTTCAACCTAAACAAAAATAACCAAAAACTAGCGTTTAAGGTAATATGAAAACATTTTAAATAAAATACTTTTACAATTGAGAGGTGGAAATACCTTTGAAGACTGCCTATTCTTAGGACCTAAAAAAATAAATCCAGGCGTCTGGAACTTGTGTCTTGTAATACAGCATTCTATCCCTCTCACATGCTAACCAGCTCGCGAGCTGAAAAAACACTTGATATTTCTATTTTGATTAGCCTCTTTAAACCTCTTGTCAATTAGTACTCCTCAAATCCTGAGGCATTTTTCAAAGCAGTCAGTATGATCTTATCTAATGTCCCCTTATAAACACTTCTCATGAATTTGGTCAAGTTTGCCATTTATCCGTGGGAACGTGTGGAGGAAAGTTCTATTTCTCACCATCAAATTTTCATTTGCTTCACGGATAGTAACAGTGGATTCTGTCAAAATTTCTTGCATATGCCAACCTCCCATGCAGAATCTGTGTTGATGATAAGATGTGTGGCTAGGTTTCTTACTCCCCAAGCGAAAGAATTTTTTCTATTAATCAATACCCCTGCCCAGTGAAAGGTTTTTGAAGGCACCAAAGTTTATGCTGAGAATAACACTCCCATTAAACAGAGATCTGTCTCTGCTTCATTTTCATGTCGCTTTCCTAAAGCACGTCTTTCGTGTGTGGTGACAAAAATAAACGTATTGATTGACAAAGAAGGTGGGATAAAAGCCGCATGCAAATAGAGACACCTAGATATCCAGAGTACAAACAGTAAGAGAAGAGGACAGAGCCATTTGATTTTCAAATGCTGAGTAGACTTTTAAGCCCACTGCAGCTACTTTGACCCAAATCTCAAAGTTCCAATAACATCCAGGGTGGTCTAGGGCAGCCTTTCATGCCTGTCAAGGGCTTTGCTTTGCTTGATAATACACAAGCACTTTCTCACTTGAATCTAAGAGGTTCTGGAAAAGTATCATTAATGGCTGTTTTAAAAAGCTACTTTTGTGAGCTTATAGGAAAATTCCTATTTACATATGCAGACATGCTAAACAACAGTTTGCTTCCTTGAGGACTTCAGTTTTCTCCAGAGTTCCTCAGAGCTAAAATCTCAAAATGCCTTGGTTGGCTTTTAAAATAGCAAGAAGGCAAACTAATTCTACTTTTCATCTACTCATGAATGCATTAACCTCTACCATGTTTCCCCGAAAATAAGACCGGATCTTGTATTAATTTTTGCTCCAACAATCTACATTTACTCATTTATTCATGTAGAAAAACATCTACATTTATTCAAACAGTTATGTGTGGCTGAGGATCTTAACTGGGGCTTGTGTTTGGGGTAGGGCTTATATTACGAGCATCCTGAAAATCATGCTGGGGCTTTTCTTCCAGTTAGGTCTTATTTTCGGGGGAACATGGTAGGTCTGATGTCTTGTTTGAGGAGATGTACCATTAAACTTTGGACAGAGGCCTCTTTTTATGCAGTTTTACGATTCACAGTGGCGGTGGTGGAAGGGTGAGAGTGGTTATAGCAAGGCAAAGCACTCACATATCGTTGAACAACCTGCTTTCTCTCGCTGGAGTCTGCCAAGGGGCACACACACAGGTCCGAGATGGAGACCCCTGCACAGGGAGTTAGTGTGACCAGCGTTAGGAGAGACCCTGGGCAGCTGTCCAGCGGCAGCTCCAAGAAGTTGACTTGCCGGAGTGGGAGGGCCGCGATGTCCACTTTGCACCTGGGAAATGGGCAGGAACCAAGAAAGAAAGTGACTTCGGAACCCCCCAAAGTTTATTTCATCATCCCCGAGCCCTCACTCTGATTGGGCATGGGTTTACTGAGCAGTGAAGTTTACACGGGCTCCCAGGCTCGTAATACTCACTCCCAGCCTAACATGCTCTAAAATTAAGGGGAGGGAGAGATAAAGAAATTAAAGAGAAAGCAGCATAAATGGAATGGAAAATGAAAGGAGAAGAGTCGGATCTCTGCCAAATAAAGACTACAGAAAGCCAAGGAGATCAAGAATTAGGGGGCCGGCCGAGTGG